GTACCGCGGTTAACAATAGAGAGTGAAGTGGTTGAGTGTGTTGACCACTTCACTTACCTGGGAAGTAGGATCAACCCTGGTGGGTTAGTTGCCGATGAGATTTCTGCACGGATACAAAAGGCTCGATTGGCTTTTGCCAATTTGCGCCACCTATGGCGCCGCCGTGATATTCGTTTGTCTATTAAGGGTCGCGTGTACTGCACAGCAGTCCGCTCTGTTCTACTGTATGGCTGTGAAACATGGCCATTGAAAGTGGAAGACATGAAAAGGTTTCAGGTGTTTGACCACCGTTGCCTTCGTAGTATAGGACGTATTCCGTGGTGTCACCATGTGAGTAATGCAGAAGTTAGGTGTAGAGTTTTAGGGAGAAGAGGTAAGTCAGTCGACGAGGTTGTGAACCTTCATCGACTGAGATGGTTGGGACACGTACTACGTATGCCTAGTCACCGATTGCCTCGTCACACAATGTTGGCTGAGGTGGGTTCAGGCTGGAAAAAGGCCCGAGGTGGCCAGACTAAAACATGGCACCAATGTATGAAGTCTCTGACTGTTGGTTTAAGCCATGTAGGACGATGCAGACTAGGTGGTTGGGGTCCGTGGGACAAGAGGAACCAGTGGTTGGAGACCCTAGGTGATATGGCTCAGAACCGAAGTCAGTGGCGCAGATGTATACACACATTATCCTCATCTTAACAACGCTATACCGAATCTCACTATTTTGTCACTCCTCTTTCCTTTCTTCTCATACTTTATATTTCTTTTGACTGCATTCACTTATCTTCATCCTTCACCTCACTACCTTTTTACTTGATGTGCTGATATGAGGTGTGGCAACTCGGACCGTTACGCAGTAATGCCTGGTCCTATGTTGATAATGATTGATTGATTAATTTTTGGAGCTGTTTGACCTGATTTTGACTCAATACTTTGGTTAAGTGGTGTCACTGAGGTTAACAACATTTTCAGAAAGCAGGCTAGTTCATTTGTCTTATTTTCTATCAACCGTAAGGTATATTTACTCATAATATTTCGTATTTACTTAAAATACAATTTTTTTTGACAGGTGAATATTAATCCTGCTTATTGCTTTTTATTTCTTTTTTTCTAACCAACTATCAGTATTTAAGTTAGTAAGAATTATATTTATTGTGTTTTAGTTACTATGCGGCTAAGTGAATTCCGACTCCATGGCTCAGTGATAACGTGCTGGCCACAGGACCTGATGGTTCTGAGTTTAATCCCTGGTGGGGTCATGGTTACGCACTGCTGAGGAGTCCCTTAGTAGGACGAAACAGCTCTCTAGTGCTCTCAGGTTTTCAGTGTTTTCGCACCTTCTGTCAGTCCATGATGAATACCAACGTGAACAGTTGTTGACAGTGGTTAGAACACTTTATAGCCTTTAGTTATCCGGTCAGCATTCGTGTTAGTCTAAAAATGTAACAGTAACTGTAACATGTGTTGAAGCAGTTTAAAATTTGAGGACAATAAGTTTAGTTTTCTATGTATCAAAATTTCGGTATGAAGCTTGGCATATCGTAAATGTTGTAATCGTTTCAAGTATATCTAAGGAATTCAAAACACAGCGCTATGATGTGATATCATTTGGCTGGATAAGTATTTTATGATGTTCTTTATATGTTGAATGATCTTTTGGATATCTGCACTATTGCTTATTGTGATTTATCATCATTTTTAAGCAAAACTGACGTGTACGTAGTTGGTCAGATATCTGAATTCTTACTTCAACTTTTCATTTAAAATCGTAACAATAATTTATCAAATCCAGAATATATTAGAATTTAAGCTAGCCATCTGTAGGATGTCGCTGGAATCATTTATCTTCTATTAGGCACATCTGAATTTTATTTCAGTCACTAAGTGTTTTGCTTGATGATCGTATAGAGAGACGATGGGAAAATAGAACCTTGGACAGAAGTGTATCGCTTTAGGTTGCCTCACTTCACAGTAGCATGCAAAAAACATGGCAATAGAAAAAGTCTGGAATCAAAATAGACAAAGGTGTACGGGAGGATAAGGAATATAAAAATGAATCTCCGTCAAACCATTCAAGCTTTAGAAGACTTCAAAGAGCGAGTACACCTATGTCATTGTGACCGATTTTCAGCCACATCAGTAAGTCCTCTTGAGAACTTCAAGTAGGCAGTCTACACCTCTCCACATGGTTAAGACCGAGAGTCAGGGATTTCATGAGCTGGTGCTACTTCTTGGCCTGACCGCCTTCTTTTAAACCAAAACAACTCCCGGGACTGCACAAGATGTCGTTTGAATTATCTGTATTCTACTAACCACATCTGAACGTTATTTTAGTTACTAAGTGCTTTGGTTGACGATCGTATGCGTAGGGAAACACTCAATCGTTCGTGTATCATTCCACTAGTTAGGTAACTAGTTGTCCTCAAACTTTGTGCAATGAAGCTTAGCTGGAATTTAGATTTAGTCAGCTTTCTGATCTCATAGATAAGTTGGTAGGACGTCGAATTTATAACCCGGAAGCTGTTGTTTCTAATTCTTCTAGGAACGAAGCTCTCTACCAACTTTATTTAGTTCTCACTCTTCGAGTGATGCACACAATTACTTCTCTGTATTTCCGTCTATTTCCACTCCTCACCATTTTTAATTATCACTTCCGCAAAAAATCTTAAGTTATGGAGCAAAGAATAACTTAATCGAGTATACATACGTCTTTATAGTGGTGTGGATATAGCTTTTTTAAGGCATCCTGGGGATTCTCATGCTTTATTGAAAACGTTGTGGTGCACAATGTAGTATTATTTCTTTTTGAGTAATAAAATGGATAAACATAAGACAGAGTAGACAAACATTCCCGTATTTGTGTCCTCTGTTGCCATTGTTCATCGCTGTCTGGAATAATACATTAAAGCGGTATATCTTATGTATATGTAGACTCCTTTTCCTAGCTGGCGCCATGTCTTTTAGTTACCTCGTGAAGTGAGCTCATTACTTGGAGTAATACTAGATTTTCTAAGTATGTTTTGGTCGTCCCTATTTTAATGGTGTTAATCATCTATTTAACAAAAAATTTATTTCATAATTACGCTTGTATAATCAATTAATAGTGGTTTATACTTTTACTTCTTGTTTTACTACAACTGCTGTTACTACTACTGATACTGACATTTAAAATAGCTATCCCACCAATTACATTATAAGGATTGTCGCTTTTGTCTTTTTCCCTTATTAAAGCAGCAATATGTTAAATTTAATTGCAAGGAATACATTCGTTCAACTGTTACATATTTGTCGAGTGTGTTTGTGTGTGTACATGGCGAAGTTGTTTTTTGTTATTGTGATTATCGCGCCACCATTTGGTAATTACCTAACTAGCTGAATTTAAACAGCATCGCCTCAAGTTGTTGTACGCCCTAACAACAAAAACAAAAACAACACAGCGAGAGAAAATCAATTAGAAAAGACAAAATAAGATAATGATAGGATGTGGATTATTTAAGGTTATATAGATATAAAGTGTATTGATCTCTGCTACTAGGATAGTTTTTAAGCTATGTTATTTAGAGTAATAAACCATCGATTTTACATACACAAATGATAGCAACGTGAAAAGCTAAAGGTCATATGATATTGACTTTCTGAGTCGGTGCTGTGGCTTAGCTATTTTGAGGCTTTCACTGCACATTTACCGTACATAGCAATTACACTGGTCTGTTTTGTGTCATTATTATTATCATCATCATCATCATTATGGATAGTGTCGGCAATATGGCATCGAGTTTTATCAATCTTAGTGAATACATTGAGCAGTAATTATGCCTGTAGTTGATTCACTGTAGTTTTCGTTCATGAAATCCCCTTACAACTCATTAATAGGATATAAAATGGATGGAGTATTTACAAGTTGTATTGTCCACTTTGTAAATTCTCAAAGTTGAGTGGTTTTTCACTTACCCAGCGAAGTTTCCTTTCAATTTTGATTTCTGACGCCAAAGTTACTCAGAGTAATAAAATATAGTTTTGAACAAAATAATTGCTTGAAAACCACTATTGCTGATTTTCATATTTACTCGAGCACACTGCTGACGAACTTGACCTAGAATGAACAAAACAACCATCACTCTTGTCTCAAATCAAAATCCATTTGATAACTTTGTGTGCGTTCGTGCAGTGGACAATAAGATGCGCCTGTGCTCGCTAATGATACTACCTGTCTATCCAAATTGTGGTATACGGAGCTGGGTTCGAACCTATGGTTCATTAATTTTGTCTAACTAGCGAATTCAAAGATCAGCGTAGGTAATTTTTTGCTGTTCGTATCTTTTAGTAGTATATTCGATAGCATATTTAGTTGAATCATGCAGCCGTATTATGCACTATTATCTTTGTGGTTGGACATGGGATCTAATATATCGCTTTGTTTTCTACTGTAATACTGTTTGTTTCGATTTCTCTAGTGAATTCGCTGATTTCAGCCTCCTCTCTTGTACTTCTCCTATCTGCTTCAGATTTGTTCTACGTCAGTGTATCTGTATAAACAATAAACGCCTTAACATATTGATAAAGCAAGCTCTTGATTTAGATTTCGTGTGTATTCAATTCAGGAGTTGTGACCACCTAGTTTTATATATCATGATAAAGTTTCTGTTGATATTAGAAGTACATGCTAACCAGAGTTATTTACCACTGGGAGGTTCAGTGATGTGACATTATGATTAAATGAAAAATCCCTTCAGATTATGTTTTTCGAGTATTTTATTACTTAACTGTTTCATACTGTCATTGTGTTACTAGTTAGAGAAATCTAGAACCAAAGCCTCATGAGACTTGATACACATTAATAAAACTTTGTAGCCTTCAGTAAGTTTCAACATTCATCCGTTGATTCACGAATTAAGTTTTCTTCTGTACTCCTTATCATATCAATGGGGATTTTTTAATCAGAATATTCTTTTTAGCAAGATTTATTAAGTTGTATTGTGTTTTTCCTTTGAAACCTCCGATTACAGGTAGTTTGGTTAGAACAACAAGTTGCGAAAATTCGAGTTAAACGAGATGTACACATTCCAGTCAGTGATCCGAAATGGCCTCAAATGTGGTATTTGGTAAGTTTTTATATTTCATTGAGTAAAATAACATTTTGTTTCGGAAATACAAGTGAATACTGTTATGTTTATTCTCTTAGAAACTCTGCCTACTTTTTCATTCATTCATTTATTGATGTATTCCTCTGAGCATAAATGTTTACCCTTATACAGGATTTCTCACGTGGTTAAGTTGTTTGTCAAACAGTTTACAAAATTCCCTACCAACCAAAACACTTTCTACAACCACTTACGTAATTTCTCACCAGTTAACTGTATTTCCATTGGAATTTTACTTGGAAATTGTTTAATTAAAATTCATAATATTTCTGATAGAGTAGTATTGCGACAAAACGAAATATACTACTGAATAACATCACACACTAATGAACAAGTTTCACACATAGTCCTATCTATTGCTACCACCATCATCAGTACTGCACTCAGGTAAAATTGAGTCCACTCAAGTTATTATAACGTTCTTTTCAAGCCAGGGAGATTACTGCCCGGTAAGGTCATGGACCTTCATCGACTAAGATAGTTGGGGCATGTGTTACGCATGCGTAGTCACCGTCTATCTCGTCGCACAATGTTGACCGATGTGGATTTGGACTGGAAAAAGGATCGGGGCGGCCAGACTAAAACAGGGCAGCATTACATGAAACCCTTGATTGTTTGTTTGAACCATGTAGGGGAATGCAGACCAGCCGGTGGGGATCTGCGGGACAATAGAAATCAATAGTTGAAGGCTCTAGGTGATATGACTCAAGTGTACACACACGTTATCCTCATCTTAACCTTTATTTTGAATTTAACATTTTCTCATTCTTCCTTTCCCTCTTTTATACTTTCTGCTTCTTTTGACTGATTTCACCTCTCACTTTATTATCTTGTGACTTGATGTACTGATATGAGGTGTCGCAACTTGGACCGTTCTGCCGTAATGTCTGGTTCTATGTTGATGTTGATTGACTGATAGTACATCTTTTGGGTTAGTGATCAATGTGTATATGTGTGTCTACTGGAAGTAGTGCTGTTTCTAGCTACACACCTCACTCAGCAGTACTTCTTGACATAAAGTATCCAGCAAATTTTTTTTCGATGAATCATTTTCAGCATCTGTACAGTCGTGTTTATAATAAGAACAAACAAACAACTGAGTATATTATTGGCTAATAGGTCAAATTAGGTCATGAAAACAGAATGTTCTAGGGTCGATTCTATAGCTAGAAAGCGTCTGTGTAACCGTTGTATGCATAAGGAAAATATACAGTTGATTAATATGATGAGTAATCGGCTAAAAAATATTGCTAATTTTAATCCATACTCGGAGTAGAGTATTATGAGGATTTTAACGGGAGATTGGAACTAACATTTTAAGACGTAGGAGAGTAAAGCATAAATTAAAAAAAGTGATCAGTCAATAAGAGTAAGATTAATACTGAAGCCATAAAGAAACTCAAGGAAGGATAATCATCATGGCAAAAAAAGAAAACGGGTGTAACTCTTACATACTCAGAGCTTAGGCTTGCATTATCGGTTTGCCAGCGCCTCTACCATACATAAGTGACTAATCTGTGCACCTTTTGAGCCATTTAGCTTGACTTTTTTCAGGGATTTGAAAAAAGTCTATAGGAAAGCGAAATGACCAAAGCTAACCAAATGATGCACGATGGAACTGTTACTTGACTTGCGTTCTCCTATGAATAGTCAAGTAAGTTAGTGCTCAGAGATGCGTTTTGAGACATTGGACTTATGTATTTCTAATTTCTTAATGGGCTTCTTTTCTCGATATAACTCAACAAAGCCTAGTACGTGTTTATGTACTAGAACATGAGGGGTTATGTTACTACCTGGTTGCTCCGGCTGAAGTAGGTGCGGAGGAATTTGAACCGGAGGCGCATCACATGAAAGTTGAGTAAATTAGGAAACGAGTGGCTTTCTGATAACTAGATAATCATTAAGGGCTTCTGGAATGAGCAGAGAACATTGTTCTGCGTGACGATGTCGATAACATGCAAAATGTTTTGAGCAGAGGTCTGAGTATGTTTGACGTGCTTTGTCCTTTTCAACTGAGGCTGGTCTAGAGCTACTCCAAGTTTAAGTATGTGGTATGAAGTAGTGTCGTACATTGACCACTTCACTTACTTCAGAAGTTGTTTCAGCCCGAACGGGTTGGTTATTTATTTTAAGAAAAGGGTGGGGGAAAAAAAAGCTCGTTTGGCGTTTTTCAACATATACCATCTTTAGCGCCGGCTAGTGAGTTATGTGACTATGTATTAAATGATGAGTATAATGTGCTGCAGTCCTGCTATACGATTGTACAATGTGACCCTTGGAAGTAGAAGGCATCAATAGGCTTTAATTTTTTCAAAAGAGGTGTCTTTTTAGGCAAAGAGTGTTATGTAATGAAGGCAAGTGAATGGATGAGGTTTTGATATCCATCAAATGACTTGGCTTAAACACTTGTTGCGCATACCAAGTCACTGCCTACGTCGACGTGCAATGTTGACTGAATTAGGATTACTTTTAGAGAAGGCTTAGGGAACTGAAACTGAGACACATAAAAGAAGCACTAATAGTCAACAGTTGTCCTATGCAGTTTATTAAAAAAATCGTAGGAACACACAAGAAACAAAATAATAACAATAACACCAGTACGAATAATAACGATAAAACGAGTAAAAAGGGGTTCGCAGCCTCCAATGTATTATCCTATAAGGAAGGTACATCAAAAACTTCACGTAGGATCCTCAACAAGGCTGGAATTAGGGTGGCATTTAAACCTACAAACTCACTCAGAGACAAGCTTTGTCGGCTTAGGGATCCGATAAAACCAATTAAGCAAAGTAATCTAATCTATCAAACTCTATGTAATGACTATGAGGTCAAGTACATAGGTCAAACTAGCCGGTCGCGGTCAGAATAGCAGAACATGGGAATTTAGCTAAATAGAGAATGACAGACCCGAATACGATCAGTAGTATAGAAAATAACTTGGCCATTCCAATACATACATTCACACAAAACCATACCATAGAGTGGGATAAAGCCACTGTACCTAAGTCCAGTATGATTAGGTGGAGAGAGAGAGAGATTGATTTCTGAATCTATATTCATTGAATCGACAGCGAACACATGTGACAGGAATGATGCAATCCCTATACCAGAGATATAGAAAACTTTACTCCCAAGGCTATGGGTGGCCAGACGGAGTGGCACCAGTTCATGAAGTCTCTGACTGTGGGTTTTAGGGAAGTGTGGAATGTTTGCTTGAAGTTCTTGAGGTAGTAGGAATATTTGGTTGGAGATTCTTGATGCAACGATTGAAAATCTGTCACAGTGGCGCAGATGTATTCACTCTTTGGCTTCTATTGTTTGAACATTTTCATTAGCCTTTATTTGTTATATACTTTCTCCTTCCATACACTTTTGTGAATTTCGATATCAGTTTCTCCCGTATCCACTTGTTCTTTGCATGTTGCTATAAAGTGGAGCAGCTTGAACCGACGCTTTTCTGTACGAAGTCCTTCGTTTATTTTGTCTGTCTGTCTTTGCAGTAGCTTGTTTCATTTCCAAATCGTTTTCATCACGGGTTATCCATCAGCTAACGGATCATTGAAAGTGATGAGGTATTGGAAATTGGTTTCATCGAAGTTTGAAACTCTGTGTCTAGTAGCTTTTTTAGGAATTTAGTCCTGAACAGTTAGGTTCCAAATAAAATAAGATGCTATCCAGCCAACAGACTTATATTCCATGGTTCCTGTTACCTAGTGCTCAGTGGTGATTTACTTTCAGACGTATTTGTTGAATTTCTTATGAAAAGCTGTAACCTTTAGAGTCATTGAAGTTGAGTTTGAAGACAATTCCTCACTAATGCTTGCACAACATTATGAATTGATACAAATTGGAGAAACAAATACCTTTCGAATCCCAAATTATTCATTGGTTTGTCACGTGGTAATCATGAGAGTTTATGGTTGTGAGTACACAGTCTTCATAGGTTCTAAATTGGAAGAAACTACCTATCTCGGTTGTTTGTGATTCCTTTTGATTTATTCGAGTTTGACAGTTATTTTATGCTGGGATATTATCACTTTCTGATCACAGTATTCATTGAATAGATGTACGGTTTACTGGCCTCTATTGAGACAAACAGGAACAGTAAGTGGGTCCTAGAGTAGTATTTCATCACGGAGACTTTATCGTTTAGGTATCTTTTTTGCAAGTACTCTTTTCATTGTTAGGAGTTGATAATCATAAATAATATAGATAACTTGAGTAGCAATCATAGTAATGAGATACGTTTATCGTGAAACTTCGTACTTTTGTAGAAGAAGATAGTATTGGCTTTACCACAGGCTCTAGTTAGATAACAGGTTCTTATAGTTTATTGTTCTTCATGTATTTTTTGTGAACTTTATTTGTTTGTTGCTTATTAGGCTATCTGTTTGTATATTTGCTTTCAGAAGATACATACTAGTTTATTAATGCTTGTATTAATCCGTTGTTATACTACGTCGAATTAGTCGATCTCTGTTATCATATGGGCTCCTGTGTGGATGCCTTGATATAGCCTGACGATGCACTATCTTACTTATTGGCTATAAGTAGAATCTACTGCACGCGTTTCGTCCTGTTTAAATCTCAGTGGCCGATTGTATCTGTATCTCAGTGAGTGATAGTTTTCCCACTGAGATTCGAACCCGTCACTAGTCGCTTCAAAAGCTAGAACGTTATCCCTTAGACTATTGAGTCGCAAGAGCCTCCTTCTGTGCAACAGGTATGTCTACCACCTATAAATAAAGACGTTTAAAGCTTAACACATATATTTGTAGGTAACTTATATGGTTATTATTCGAACACTGTACAAGTTGGCTCTCTTAGTTGAATTAATCAGTGTGCACCATTAATAGCTTTGATCTGAAGTGAAGTAGACAGCCTCCTAGTCATTATGCACTGGTAATTGATGTGATTAGTTTACAACAAACATCAAATTGCAGATTTAGAGAAAACTTTGT